TCCCTGAATATCAGCCATTTGTCTGAGATGCCTTTGCTTTGTTCCGACCTTAAAGATGGCAATCTGAAGCCATCCCCTCAGGCCCATTTCACATCTCCCAGCCTCCCCACTGATGGTGCCCCTGGGCCCTTCGGAGGCACAGGCTGAGCCACCCACCACCTCCGAGAGCAGGTCAGAGCAGAGCACAGAGAACATTGCTGGGTGTCCCTCCTCCACTCTGCAGTTAACCAGGCAAAAGCAAAACCGTTCTTGGTAGGATTTCAGCTGACGCTACCAGAGGTGAAGCCGTCTGGCTGCCCACACCCAGCAGTGTTTCAGATGTTTCAGAAAAGTGACCCGAGACCCAGCTGAACGACACCAGCCTGCCCTGCCGTACCGGCTCACGAGACACAACGGGATCATGCCACCACTGCCCGCATCCAGAGGTACCGACCCAGAGCTGGATCCTGCAGGAGTCATGGCCAAAATCTCCTCTCTGTTAGGAAAGGGGAATAAGCTCATATACAACATGATGTAACTGAAGGAGTGAGAGAGGGCTGCTTCTCGTCCCCTTCCTACTCACCCAGCACAAGCCCCCACCCCTGGTCCATTGCTGTCCCCCCCAGCCAGACTCTCTTGAGAGGGGGGTCCTGCCACCCGCCAGGGCAGCTCCATCCCCTCCCCACCCCAGTGAACCCCTTCTCTCAAGCCCTGGCCCCACATCTCCCCTCCCCTCCCCACATCTTCTCCCATCTCCTCCCCTGAGTGATGTGGGGGCTCCCAATGTCATCCAGAAGACTGATGTAATCTCCTCGCACAAGGGGCTGGTGGGTGCGAGGCCAGAGAAGGCAGAGGCCACAATGCGGTAGCCGCAGGATCATGGAAGAATTTAGGCTGGAAGAGGTCTCTGGTGGTCATCTGATCCAATTCCAGCTCTGAGCAGGGTGAGATACCGACCTGGATATGACCTTAATCCTGCTTTAAGCTCTGGAGAATGGACCTAATGTGATTCATGACATGAGAGGACCCACTAACACCTGGGGGTCCCCAAGGGTACCAGGCCCTTTCAGGTGGGTATCAGTGGAAGAAGACTCAATAGTCTACAAAGAACAAGAAAATCCATTCTTGGCAGTCAGAGACCACCCCAGAGCTCCCCATTCACACCTCTTCCATTGCTAGATGCAGCACCCATTAGAAATGGGAAGTGGAGATGTTTAAAGATGTTCACGATCTCAACACTTTGGAGCACCCAATGGTCTCCTGCAGGGATGGGGAATGATATCTTTTCTCCCAGGCCTATCCTTTCTGGAGTATTTTGCCATGCTTGGAAGTCCCTGAGATGCCTCCAGGGGAGGGAGGGAAGGGGTTGGGCAGTGCTGGTGTCCCCTGGAGCCACGGCAGCCCCAGGGGACGGGCGGCAAATCTTGCTCACAGACCCAGGGAACAGCCGATCACCGGTTCTGGGGTCAGGAAGGAGGTTTTCCCCATGGGCAGATTTGCACAGGTCCCTGGGGGTATTTGACCTTCCTCTGCAGCACTGAGCACGGCCCCTTGCAGGGCTCCTCAGGGCCATTTCTGGCCAGCGATTCCCTGCTGTTGTTGCAGGACCGAGAGTCCAGCTGTGTCCGTCATCTCTCCGCCTCTCTTCCCCGTGGCAGCTTTGTTTTTCTAGTGTTCAGTCATTTGTAGCATAGGTCTTGTAAGGCAATGTCCTACAGCTCCACGCTCAACAGGAGCTGCTGATTTTTAACTGCCCCTGCATACAATAAAATTTTCTTTTTATTGTATCTCAGTTCTGTTGTCTGCAAACATATGCCTATTTCTGCCTCAAGAACTTTGTCCTTCAGAAGCATTATCAGTTACTGCAGATAGTTTTTGGACTCACAGCGATATTATCACCATTTGAAGAACTCAGCACTTTTTCTTCTCAGGACATCCTTCGTGGATGTCTCTGAAGAGTCCATGTCAGAGCACGTCAGAGTCATTTCTCTCCTGCCCAGTATAACGACACCTAAAATGGGTCTCACCAACACCCTTGTGCTCTGCACGCTTAGATCTCACCAGCTGACACAACACACCTAGGTCTGAGAGAAGGGCCTATGGCCAGGAGAAAAAAGTCAGTGGAAGCACCTGTACTCGGGGATACCCCCCCCAACAGACACCTGGAGTGTTAGGAAGGTCCCTGATGTCTATCAATAATGGCCTTTTTCTGCTACACTTCCTGCTCAGGTGAGATTCTGGCTGGTCATCCCACATGGCTGGTTTTCCATGTGAACTCTTTATTCTGAACAGAATCGATCTTCAAAAGCAAGAAAGCAAAACTTTCTTATCTATAAGCCTGGACATTCTGCCCTGCGCTCCTTGGTCCCTCACCTACCGCATGCAATGCCACGCACGGCAGGGAACAGAGGACATGCGGCAGCTCCACATCTCCTGGAAGACTCGCTTGTCTGCAAACAGCCTTGCCTGCTCTGCAGAGCAAGGAGGACCAAGAGCGAGATCCGGCTCCACAGGCTGCACCCCCCAAAGCAGGACCACAAGAGGAGGGGGTGGCTGGAGGCTCAGAGCATCTGGTGGCACTCTCCATACTTGAAGGGAAGAGCTGGCTCT